CCTCGTCTAGTATTAAGTCCCGGACAGGGGGAGCTTTCTGAATCACAGACCTGGCATTTAGCAGCAGCAACCTGAGACCAGGGCCCTGACTTCCCTTGTCACCAGGTCCAGGTGTAATGTAGCGACCCCTCCTTCCCCGGTAATGGCTACCCCTGCAGCTCCCATCATACCTGCCCCTCCCGGTCGTAACCGAGATGCTCCGACCCGCCCCCATTCCTGTAGACCCTTCCCCTTCTCCCATGGCCCCCATTCTTCCCAGCAGGCCGTACATATCATTCATTCTAGGACGGGAGGCATGGCCTGGTTTCCCTCCCCCCACCCCCACCATGCAGCCAAGCCACAAAGGTTGGGGACCACTGTTTTATGCAGTATTTAACCATGCAAGCACAAACATGATAGGAGTCCATGATCTGTCAGACAATAGGCATTGCTGCATAATCTCAGATGATATGGGTACCAAAAATAAAATAAAAATAAAAATGTGAACAAACATAAAATTGTATTTCAGAAGATAATTAAAATTCCCTGTCTTCTCATGGAAAAATAAATACTTCTGCAATCTCTATTGTAGCATTTTGGCATATATTGCAGAAGTCTATAGTGGACAAGTGTATGTTTGTGGGGATTAATTTCAGAAGATGATAAGTGCTATCCATTGGCTCCCCAAATACTCTTATGTGTATAGGCAACATAATTGTTAACTTTTACTGTTAAATGTAAGAGATTCATGAAAGCTTTGAGTATTGATGAGTAAAATTGGCATTATATTTTTGTGATAGGTTAGTTTCTTTATCCATCTGAATTTTAGTTTTCTATTATCCTACATGGAGCTATAGAGTGGTTATAAATAGTGTATAATTATAAGTATAAGGATGTTTGCCACTGTTTTTGGGCATGATGATAGTATGTAGATAAGCAAAAAACTATTACAATCAATTTAATATTTAACTTGAATATCGAGAATGTATGCTTAAACTATTTTGACTTTCAGTCATGGCACTAGGTTGCCACAAACTGCTCTCCAGACAGAGGTTGTGTTCACAGCTAGCAAATTCAAACATGATTCAACCTGCACAATTTGTTGTTGTGTGCTTCATGCCTTCTACCTTTTATTGAAAGTTATTTGTGCTCAAGAACAATAGCAATAACTAGATTTTTATTCATACTGATATGCTACTATAGTTAAAATACTATATGTTATTGTAATTTAACTAATATAAATATATTAACTAATAATAAAGAAGATAAAGTCATAAGAAAATTAAGCCTGATAGAAAAAAACTGATTCTCTTTTTGAATTCAGTGTAAAAAATTTATTAGAACATCTACTACAATCCATGTAACAAAATTGTTGTTATTGTCATTTATTTAATGTCCATTTTTATATATGCATGATATATTTTACCTTTGTTTTCAGAGTGCAAAATGTGAAGAACTCCACCTTCATGCAGAAAATCTTTCAAGGCGAGTTTGGGAGTTGTTAATGCTACTGCCTACATGTCCTAATATGCTTCAAGCATTTCAAAATATTTCAGATGATCAGGTGAGCAAAAAGTCATCTCTTAAATATTTGCAATTGTTGATGCATGAAGTTTGAAGTGCTACATATAATTTAGACTTGGCATCACAGTTTGGAGTTTGAGGATTCAAATATCTGATACTATTCATATGTCTTGAGAAGGAGAGGGAAGCTATTATGACATTCAGAAGGCCTTATGAGTTGCCAGTGTTGGCATGACAAAGACCCTGTCTACTCCCCTCTTTTCATACAGATATCAGGAAACAAGAGAAAGGGAGTTGCTGAATGATTGAGGCAGGTAGGCCAGTAAGTAATGTTTTGGTGGGGCTTCCAAAGGCCACTATATCACACAGAATGGGACAACTCGCCGCAACCAACTTGCCACTGCCAATTTGCCACAACCAACTCATCATGGCCAACTCAGTGGGAGAACTCGCCATGGCTAATTCACCACAGAAGTAGCATGGAATGGGACACTTCACCGCAGCCAACTCACCACAGGACACTTGGTGCAGGACAATTCAACAATTCAATTTAATTATTTAAAATAGTTTAATTTTTTTAACATTTTTGTCATTCACATTTTATTTTCTCCCTCCTTCGGCATCCTTTCTTCAATTATTCTATTCCACTATGTCTTTGATATTAATGCATCCCATAGTGAGTTGTCCTATGGTGAGTTGACCATGGTGAATTGTCCTGGGGCAAGTTGCCTGTGGTGAGCTGGTCATGGCGAGTTGGCTGTGGCAAGTTGGCCATGGTGAGCTGTCAAAGACCCGATGACACCTTTTAGATTAGTATGCCCAGCGGATGGATGTGCGAGTTGGGTTTCAGTGGGCTCTTGGGGTCTTTCCTATGAATGGGCGTTGGTACTTACCTGATACGCTCATTCTCACTGCAGGTGGAGACAGCAGTCAGATAGGATTAACTCCGTCCAGTAACCAATAGACTGAGTCTACAGTTTATAAAACCATCCTCCGTGCTGTTCCTCCCCAGCTTTCGATGAAAGTGGACTGTAGACTGACATGTAGTTGATATGGAGAAATAGAATAAAGGAAAAAAAGGAGAGAAAAGGCCTACCTAATTCCAACAAGGGTGGAACCTGACTGGAACAGGGTGGGGTTGACTGCTGTCTCCACCTGCAGTGAGACTGAGTATATGAGGTAGGCACCAACGCCCATTCTCCACGATTGGTGAAGACAGCAGTCATACCCAAGCTTGGCCCGTGTTAAGGGAGGGATCCGGTCCCCATGGAAGAGGAGTCTAAGGAATGGACTTGTTGTAAAATCCTCCTTTCAAAGGCAGCTTCAGTAGAAGCAAAGCGGTCTATCTTGTAATGGCGAATAAAGGAGACTGGAGATGTCCAAGTGGCCGCCCTACAAATGTCCTCCACCGAAGCCTGAGTAGCCCAGGCTGCTGACGTGGCTGCACTATGGGTGGAGTGAGCCATTATACCCTGTGGAGGAATTAGATCGTTTGCCCTGTATGCCTTAGATATACAGGCTCTAAGCCAGCACCCTACGGTGGAAAAGGAGACCTTAGAGCCAAGGGAAGCTGGCTGAAAAGAAACTAATAAGGCCTTAGAATACCTGAACGCAGCAGAACATTTGATGTAGATACGTAATGCCCTGTGAATGTCTAGGGTATGCCATATTTCTTTAACCCATGAGTGGGATGGGGAGAAAAATTAGGTAGTATTAGTTCCTGAACTTTATGAAAGGGTGAGTTCACTTTGGACATAAATGCTGGATGTAGACAGAGAACGACCCTATCTGCATGAAAGATGCAGAAGTCGCTTCTAATTGACAGAGCTGCGATTTCAGACATTCATCTCGCTGAAGCCACTGCGATCAAGAAACAGACCTTGAGCGTGAGATATTGTAGAGAGATGGTCTGCTATGGCTCAAACGGAGCCTTGGTCAGAAAGTCCAAAACTTGGGAAGGTCCCAGGTTGGGTACCTATGAATAGTTGGAGGACAAATGTTGGTCGCTCCACAGAGGAATCATCGAATGTGTATCAGGTAAGAGATGGCCTTACGTGTCGGCAGAGTCAGGACTGTAGAGGGGGCCGCCACTTGACGCCTTAACGTGTTTGGCAAAGGACCTTTGGTGAGCCCCTGTTGGAGAAAGTCTAATACATTAGCCAAAGAGGCAGACAGAGGAATAATGTCAGAAGAGGAACACCACTTGGTAAATACTGTCCAGATTGCATCGTATATTCGAGTCGTGGAAGGACATCGCGAAGCCTATATGGTTTGAATGACACTTTCCGACAGTCCATCTGCTCTCAACGCCTTCCGCTCAATCTCCACATGGTTAGTTGTAACCAATGTGGGTCTGGATGATGGATCGAGCCTGTGCAGCGGAATAGGCCATGGGAATGTTACTGATATCGTCATTAAGTCCCCGAACCAGGGACGGCGGAGCCAATGTGGTGCCAGAAGGAGAATTTCCACCTCCTCGTCTAGCAGTTTCCGCACCACCCTCTGTGTTAGAGGCAGAGGAAGGAATGTGTATAGAAGACCTGTGGGCCACGGGCACCGTAGAGCGTCCATCCCCTCTGATCCCAGAGATGCCTACCAGGCATTTTCCCTTGTGGCAAAGAGGTCGAGTATCAGTCTCCCGTATCTGTGGGACAGTTCCCAGAAGAGATTGTGTGAAATGCTCCAATTGCCGTGATTGATCTGTGTGTGAATTAGCCAGTCGGCCTGAGCGTTGTCAACACCCAAGATATGCTCCGCCCTGAAGGAGAGAAGATGGACTTCCGCCCAAAGCCCCAACAGCAGCTGTGCCTTTTTCAATGGCAGAGGATATGATGGCAGCAACATCTGGGGTTATCACAAGAGTTGGTTGAAACCCCAGGGAAGAAGATGCCTGATCTGCCTCAGGAGAGGGACCTGCACCATCAATTGATTCATCTCCGCTATGAGGAGAATCAAAAACCCCTGTACCATCCCCTATCTGAGAAGGGGAATCTGGATCAGAAACAGAAGCCTCCGAATCAGAAGAAAGACCCGCAGGAGAAGGGCTATCAGGAGAGACTGGGATTACCTGGAATGGATGAGGGCTCTCTCTGCCACCCTGCGCACGCTTGCTGGAAGAAGCTTTGTGAGGGAAGATTGGAGTTGTCTCTTCTCCCCTTTTTTAGCTGCCTTAGGAGCCTTTGCAGGTTGCTCCTCAGCTGCCTCAGATACTATCCCCTTTTTTCTTGAAGAAGCCCCGTTATCGACCGTTACTTCAAAATGGCGCCCGCTGCCTCTTTGCGCCAAAATAAACTGCCTCTCACTTTCAGTCAGGCTTAAAATGGCGTCTGCAGCTACCCCTGCGAGAGAAACAGCCAGCGATCCTTCTGTGGCTTTGCAGCCGCTGTGCTAGATTTTTGAGAAAGCCACAGGGTTTCCACCCTTGGCCTTGTCATCGGGGCACTTTCAAGCTGTCAGAAGCAAAGTAGAATCATCAGAGCCACTCTGCTTCCCAATAGGAGCCTCTGGCAACAGCAGCGAAGAAAAAAAGCGTCTTGACGCTTTAAAATGGCTTTTGAAGCCGCACGGCAAGCTCCGTAGAGTGGGGCAAAGCCCCTTGTCCAATCGAAATACCCCCTCTGCCTGCAAGATCTTGAGGATGGCAGAGGGTGAAAGATTAAATTTTTTGGAATAGCCAATTAGTAATTAAACACAATTAAGTCAGAGAAGATCAACTACATGTCCAGTCCAAAAATGGCTGAGTCTAAAGCTGGGGAGCAGCAGCACGGAGGATGGTTTTATAAAATGTAGACTCAGCCCTATTGGTTACTGGACGGAGTTAATCCTATCTGACTGCGGTCTCCACCAATCATGGAGAATAGTTTGACTAAAGTATTAGTTGTTGATTGGAATCAGCAAGTAGCTAAACTCTGCACTGGAATTCTCCTATGTGGCCTCTCCTTGTTCATTGATCCTGGGCCATACCTTGGTTCTCTAAGGAACTCTAGGAGATGAAGCACCAGAAGAGATGCCATTGAAGGAAGACAAAGTCTAAATTGAGCCACAGTGGCGCAGTGGTTAGAATGCAGCACTGCAGGCTATTTCTGCTGCCTGCTGGCTGCCTGCAATTTGCCAGTTCAAATCTCACCAGGCTCAAGGTTGACTCAGCCTTTAATCCTTCTGAGGTCGGTAAAATGAGGGCCCAGATTGTTTGGGGCACTATGCCGACTCTGTAAACTGCTTAGAGAGGGCTGTAAAGCACTGTGAAGCAGTGTATAAGGGCTATTGCTAAATGAGCATGAGTAAAACCACATATTTCGGTTTAGAGCATCTTAATAAGAATAATGAAAAATGTTATCACAGCTGGCCAGTGGCCCTGTTAAAGGTGACTTGTTGCCTGCTGGGGAGGGAGACCTACAGGAACATCTTGCTATCTGGTAGATAAATTCATTCAGATTTGGATTCTAAATGGACAGGTCCTTAGTACGTTTCTGGGGCAGACTGTTATAGGGTTATTTGGAGTGTGTTTATAAATCCTCCACTGGACTGTGAGTTCATTTCCCTAGTTTGTTTATTAATGTAAGCTGCCCATAGTCACTTATAGGTGAGATGGATGGCAAACAAGTCTAATAAACAAATAAGTAAAATAAATAAATAGTTCCAGGTCCCTTTTGGTTGGTCAAATCCACTCTTGTGCATATTTTAAAGCAGCTTTTTTAAATTATAGCAAATGATCATGTTTCAGTAAAGCTACAAAAATATAAATGAAAGTATATTGCTGATAATAGGAAATGATTTTTCATATCTGGAAATTGTTGAATGGACAATCCAATTTCATTTTAATAAGTTAAGCATAAACTAAAATATCTATACCAAATAGTGGAAACTTTGAAAACTGTCACCTATTCAGCATTTCCCTTTTCCTTTTAGCTGTAACTTCAGGAATATCTAGTGAACCAGAGATTAAGGCAGAGTTAATATGAGTCAAATTATATTCAACAGAGTGTATTAAGACATGAGTGTATATAGCTGCAAGTATATATATTCAAGTTCAGATTATAGTTGATCCTCTCTTACAGACTTTGTTTATCTAATCTTTTTTATTTTTTAAAAGAGCAATGATGGATTCAGTTGGAAAGATCTTTTAAGAATAAAAAGTGCTCATAAACTTTTGTATGCCCTTGAAATAATCGAAGCGCTTGGAAAACCTAATAGAAGAATAAGACGAGAATCCACGGTAATATAATTTTATTTTTCAAAGTTTTGTTTCACATAAATTTGTAAAGTTACTTTTATAACATATCTTTCATGATCGTTTTGTTTTTCTCATTGATTTTAGGGAAGTTACAGTGATCTTTACCCAGATTCCGATGATTCAAGTGAAGATCAAATAGAAAATAGTAAAAACAGTTGGAGTTGCAAGGTTTGAAATTATTAAATAAAAATGCTATTCTCGTGGTATGTGTCTTTGTGAAATGTGGCTGAACTTTTACTTTTTGATTTTAATTAGAAAATGAGGTGTTGACAATCACAGGTTGCATTTTTGAATAAATGATTTCTTAAAACAGAAAGGTTTGTATTCTTTATACAATAATGAATTGCTTATTTTTAATTTAAATTTTAATAAATGTATAATGGCTATAGACCAGCATAAGGAGCATGGGTTACAATCGATTAAAAACAGAAAATACATCAACGTTTTTAAAAATATGGAAAACTGGAATATATAAAAATTATCAAAACAAAGTAAATTTTTAAAAAATGCTTTAAAAATCTTAAATGATGAATAGGAGTATAAAATGGTCATAGGGAAGTATTTATGGAAGACTATATCAAATTACAAGGATGGCAACTATAGGAATCTTCTACGGAATGTATTTGACTTTCAAGGACAGCTGGGAGATGGGCATGACATCATGCCAGACTAAAGGCCTCTGGTGTTTAGGTAGTTTAAGCTTAGTTAAGTTTGCCATAGGAAAGGTAGAGTATCTCTTGGACTCACTAGCAGTAAAGGTTGGTGTCCTAGCTAGTTATGTTTGGTGCTCCGTGTCTGCTACTTGCTGTTTAATGTGTGTTTTGGTCTGATAATATGCTATGCTGAATAGAAGACCTGAAGAGAAATCCAAACATGAGATTTTAGTTGCCACTGCCTGTTTCCAAATGGATTGACAATCATTGCTCACAATTAATGGTAGAGGGGCGGGGGGGGGG